GTAGGACTTTCTCCTTAGTTCAGTTGAGAGCTGGGTCCTTGTCACGTGGTCATGAGATATTAGGCTCACAGACACTTTGAAGGGTGAGAATAATGGAATTTATTAGGAAAAAAAAAAAAAAAAAGGAAAAAGGGAAACAAGGACTTTCCGCAAACCCAGAATCCTGCTCCTGTGCTTCCTACCTCACAGACCGAATCCCAGGTGCCACACCCCAGAACAGTAGAGAGGGACCAGGGTGTTCCCCATTGCAAAGGGCATGAACTTCCTGTGGCTCCACCACAGTGTGCAGGCTGTCAGAGTTTCTGCCAGGGAACACTTCCCACCTGTCTGTCTCAATAAGATTCAGACTTTAATATTTATGAATCTGTAGCTTATGTGTTTTTCCAATCTCATGATAGGTTTTCCCAATCAAACTGCTTTTTTTTTTTTTTTTTGGTTCTGTACTATCATCACTGTTAAAATGAAATAAATCTTACTTTTTCATTGAAGAATAGTTCTTTTGACATAACATTTGTTTGAGATAATATAAAACTTGCTTAGTATAAAGCTAGCTCTGATATTATTTAATGCTGTGTCCTTCAGTGAGTGACTTAAAATGTCTGTTCTTTCAGTATTTTCATCTATCAAATGGGGGCAATGGCAATTTTAAAGGTTTCTTTTAATATTTAAAAGACAGAGTTAATTTACCTGGCTAGAACATAATAAGTGTTCAATCAATGTTAGCAATTGAATTGTTTTCATAAACGATTGGTGGAAATGGTTACAGTAGAGTTCAACACTCCGCTCTCTTGTCCAGTTATTGGTTTTTGGAGTAGGTTATTTAAAAGAAGATTCTAGTTATACTTTTTGTTGGTAAATTATTTTATTGCTTGCTATAAAATTTTGGGGTTGTAAATAGGAAAATTTTTTCTTTTTCTTAAATTAACACTTGATTGCTTGGGTAACTCCCAGGAAATGACTGTAACGTTAGCATGTTGTTCTACGTGATTTATCTTTCTGTTAGTCTGCAAAGCTTTTATACTATAAACAAGCAAGTAAAAAAAGTTCATGCTTCAAGTATTTCCTTTCCTAGTATAGTTAAAATTGAATGATCAGATAATTTTTTGCCTAAATTTTATTCTTATAACAAAGTATCATACAAATTGGTTTTATTGGGTTACATTTATGTTATTCCTTTCAAGATTTAACAGTTAAATGACTTTAGCTTGTAAATTTTAAAAACTCTCAGTGTATATTTGCATTTTACTAGAAATCTGGAGTAGATAATTATAAGCATCAAAAGGATTTCTATATTTTGAATAAGGTAAATTTCTGTTTTTAATGATTAAAATCCAAGGATAGTTTAGCTTCACAGTTTTATTTATTTAAGTGTATTTACAGTCACTTTCTCTTTTTTGTCAAAAACAATTCTATAGAACATTAGAAAGCTGGAGTATTAATATAATCACTTTATAGGTGAGAAAACAAGAGACACAAAATAGAACTGAGTGACTTACTCCCTCCAAAAATAAAATAATATTATTACAAATAATCTGGGATCAGGATTTATCTTTCCAATTTAAAATCTTCATACTTTTCAGTTGTATCAATAAGCAGAGTTGCATTCTGATTACATACTTCTTTTCTCTTCCAAAATATCTAGTATGAGTCACTTAGCCAGAACCAAAAAGTTCTCATTTTCAGTAAATGTGCACGGAAAAGTCATCAGGCATAACTTAACTGCTATCACAGTCATTTTTAAATGGATGTTTGAAAGAAACAATTTTGATACCATAACAGAAAACATTACAGAAGCAGAAAACAGTATTTTATTTGATGAGTTTAACAATATCTCAACTAATAAATTGGCTGTCATCCTTGCCCTGTGTGACGATAAGGTGGATAAGGACATGTAGATGCCCTCCTTGGTATGTCAATTTGCAATTACCCCATGATAGAGTACACAATTTTACTATGATTGATGAAACATTTTAGAAAGAAAGAACTTAAATGGGAAAATTCTATTAGGTTTTGAAATGACATTGCTAACAGTAGTGCTAGGGGGAAAAGAGGCATAAAAACATTTTAAGAGATAGTAGGAATGCGGCCTAATCTAAGCTGCCTACAATGCCCTTGCTGTTTTCACTTACTTTTGCATCGTATATGGGGATGTAAACAACTTAATCCTAAGGTTATTGTGCAACCTTTTCTGCTCTGTACTTTGATCAGAAATAGCGTCTGAAATAAAAATGAGATACCTCTAAGACTTCAGTGCTTGTCAGAAAAGGCTATTATTAAACATAAACACAGTAACTGCATACTCTGAGCTAGGAAGGCACTACAGTGATAAAGAAATGTACTTTTTACAATAATATAAGGATAACTCTGATCTCCAACATTCATTGAACATTCATTTTCAAGTCGGACAAAAGTTTTTGAATCAGTCTCCTTTGCTCTTATGTATTCATATCTTAAATTATATATCAATTTTATCATCCCATATTGGGTCACATAACTGGTCCAGAAAATAAGGCATCATGTATTTTTCCAGGTTCTGTACTGTTAGTTAAATCAACTTCTCACAGTTCAGTTTACCTAACCAGTGGTATAAAACTGCAAACCCAATGGTGGAAAGCAACTTCTAACTGACCCTTTAGGCAATTATTGTAGGACTGGAAGCCTGATATTCGGTTACACTCAGTGTCATTTTAAATTTAAATAGATATAAATTACTCACTTTTTTTGAATAGCAACAATTTTGAAATCAATGAACTCATCTAAGAATTGAAGAAATGTCCAGGTGTTTATTAGATGTCTAAAAAATACTGTTTCTTCACATGCTTTAATTATTTCCTGGGGCCTTGATTTTTGCGATGTTTACATTTATTTTCATCTCATTTTATGAAGCACTCTTGTAAGATTGTCACAAGACTGATGATTTGAGAATAAGCAGACATAAATGATGAGATAATATTTCTGTAGCATGCTTTAAAATTAAAGCATATTTGTCTTAAAATATAAACAAATGTCATATTTGTTCTGGTGAGTACAAAAATTAGGAGTTCAAGTTCAAGATTTACTTTCCATGATCCCAAATTAGACTTCGAATATACAAATCCAATCAGATATTTTCATCTTGCTAAGGAAACTTTAAGAGACAGAGAAAGACAGTGTTGACAGCATGATGGGCATGAGAATACTTCAATCTAGGTAGGGTCTCTTCAGCTCTTGGGATCAGGTCGGCAAAGAAGACAGGTATCAAAGAAGCAAAGAGGTGTTGGGGCAAAGGATATGGCTTTTGGATTACTAATTATGCATGCACAGCCTCTGTGTTGCAATTTGAACACCAGGATAATTTGTACCTATAAAATATCCCACGCCAGCCCTTAACCAACTTGTCAATAAATAGATGTTTGACATATTCTTACCTTTCTCTTGAGGTGACCTGACTGAACAAGAATTTATTGTTCATCTTCTATGTGCCAGGTAATTTCCAGAAATTTCTGAAAATACAAATACTAGTAATTTATGATCTTTTTTCCTCGAGAATCTCACAGTTTAAAACAGAGGGCAGATTTGTGGAGAGTTCCTCAGCTTATAAGAAAATATAAGAAGATTTTATATATATAATAGCTTTGTATATTAAGTTTTTTTAAAAAAATATGAATTTCCATCCCCTTTTTTCTCAAGTAGATCGGCACCCTATTTTATACTAACCCATTTGTTACTTGCTTAGTTTTGTGTAGCCATAGACTTTAACTATATTCTCACTGCTAGTGTATTTTATTTTCCACATTGTGAGATATCTGTCAGATTTGAAAGAATGTTACCTGAAGATTAAAAAAAACATCATGGAAGTTAAATTCTGTATTCTTTTCTCTGAGCAAATAAAAACAATTTTCATATATATATATATTAACCAAAATGCGTAAATGACATTTCACTATATTTTTGAAGAATAGTTGATGACTTTGGGAAAATATCAAAAGAAAAAGATATTATTCTAACATCATCAAGATAAAGTTTTGCCTTGAATGGAGAACACAGGGGAGAGAGGAAATGAGAGATGGCTTCAACCTAGGCTGGCAGGAGGAAGGGTGAAATCATGGTGTGGATAGAAAGAACCAAGAGCCAAAATGGCTGCCATCTTTGCAGATAAAGGCATATATGGGTAAGCTAAAACTTACCACATTTTGTGGGAGAATATTTGGAGAGGTAAATGGAAATATCAAGTAGCTATTGAGTTAGACTGTGGAGAGAAATCAAGGGTGGAAGAAAAAAATGTAGTCATGTCCCCAGTGGCAATAGTTGAACACAGAAGAATGAATATGATCACTATGGAGAAGGCCAAAAGACTGCAAACTGAGACGTATTAGTAGCACATTAAATGTTGATTGAGTTATAGCCTGGAATGCTGGGCTGGTGGCTCATGCCTGTAGTACCAACATTGGGAGACCGAGATGGGTGAATCACTTGAGGTCAGGAGTTCGAGACCAGCCTGACCAACATGGTGAAACCTCATCTCTACTAAAAAATACAAAATTAGCCAGGCATGATGGTACATGCCTGTAATCCCAGTTACTTGAGAGGCTGAGGCTCCTAACTCCATGTCTTACTCACAGTTAGCTTAGTCATGTATATGATTTGAGACACACGATAATTATTTTAGGTCACTCAATAAGGGTATTGGGGCTATAATTATTGTTTCAAGAGCAAGGAAATCATATTCATTGTCAAATTTATGGTATATTCTAAAGGCCTACGGTTATCAGAAATCTAATTTAAATGTTTATTATTTGTGTGATAATTTCAGATACTAGATATTTACAACATACATAAAATCATAAAGTGCCATGAATACAGGTAAGGTTTAAATAGTTTTTGAAAAATTTAATAGTTTTAGAAATACCATGATGTAAGCAGATTTTTTTAAAGCCACATTTTTACTTCTGTAAAATGCTTAATAAAAGGGAATGCCTTTAAGTAAGCATTTTTCTTAAAAGATGCAAGAGATACTTCAAGTCATCAATAAGCTATTGGGGATGGGATTCATCTTTGTGTTTTTTGGGATGTTTCACCTCTTAAACTGCAGATATTATCTGTTGTTAATGAGTATTCTTCAAAATGTTATTTGGAATGGTTGTACACTTCTAGTTTATTCAAAATATTATATTGGGCTTTTAGGCTTTAGCTTATTCTTTATATTACTTCTGTGAATATTCTTGTATATAACATTTGACAGATCCCTAAACCTTAGAATTAATACCTATCAAGAAGTTTTATGGGAAAAGATATGGCTACTTTGGGAATCTTGACGTGTCGATCCTTTTGTGAGCAGGATATGTGAGTACCATATACTGACTATGTGTCAGTATACTTTTATGGACAGTTACAAGAAAGTAAAATGTTCAAGTAAATGAGTCCATACAAATAAAATAAAAGGAAATACAAGTTGAATTTCATTACATCTTTAAGGTACTTGCTATTAAAAAAGCAAGATTATGAGATCAGGCAGTCAACTGGCCCATGCAATGTACTGACACTTTGCCTAGCAGGTAAACACATACAAAGGTCAGACTGGAGACACGACTGGCAGAAAATGTTAAGGATGATATGAATGTTTTTTTGCTATTTCCACCTAATGACTGAGCCTGGTTTAAAAACTATTCTCTTGGTAAATGGTAGTATTAAGTGTGGGATGGTGTCATAACCAATTTGACTACTTATTAATCACAGCTTAAAAAATTGAGCTGATAATTGGACTTTCATTTGCTATTTTAATTTCAGCTTCTTTGATTATTAGTAAAGATAAATATGTCGAACAATTAGCTATTTCTGTTTTCTTCTATGAATTATATAAAGGCATATCTCAGAAGTATTATAGATTTGGTTATGACCCCTGCCATAAAACGAGTATCACAATAAATCAAGTCACACAATATTTTTAGTTTCCCAATGCACATAAGTTGTGTTTACATTATATAATATTCAATGTGCAGTAGCATTATGTCTAAAGAAAACAGTTTATTTTAATTTAAAATACATGTTTGCTGAAAAATGCCACCAATTATCTGAATCTTTAGCAAGTCACAAACATGTTGCTGGTGGAAGATCTTGCCTTTATGTTGGCTGCTGACTGATCAGGGTGGTGGTTGCCAAAGGTTGTGGTAACTGTGATAATGGATTGACTGTCACAAAAGATTTCCCTGTAGCATGCAATGGTATTTGATAGCATTTTATCCATAGAATGTCTTTCAAAATTGAAGTCAGTCCTCTTGTAACTGGGTGTCCCAGGTTCTTGGCCTCCCCTGCTCCAATGATGGGGGAAGAGGCCCTGGAGGTGTGGTGTGCTTACCATTTGTATACATATCATGGACCCAAAGAGTTTTGCAGAGAGCCATTTATTAGGCAGAGTGAGAGAGAGAGAGAAGTAGAGAGCGCTCCCATGCTGTTGTGGGAGGGGATCCCAGAGAGGGAAATCTGCACAGGTAGAGAGGGTAAGACAGCTCCAACATTGCCGTGAGAGGGGATCCGGAGAAGGAGTCTACACAGGTAAGGGGCTGTGGAGTTTTAACTTTGAAGTTATTCCTGCCCCATTCATGTTCTTGTCCAATGAGAGCAGTTCTTTTAAACTTCCTCTGGAGTGATTGATCTTTGATTCCAATCCCAGATTGGTTGCTTGGGCCCACAACAGAACCCCTCTTTCCAGAGATTTGGGCGGGCTTTCTGAACAAAGGAAGCTCACCTGAAATTTTGCCTAGCCTGCTGGAGGGAAAGTTAGATAAAGAATCCTAAGTTCCGGGATGGGGAGATGGATGGAGGCATGGTGCTGGGAAGTTCTTGCTTTGAAACCACACCACCTGTAGACTGGGGAAGAGAAATTACATAGTCCCTCATGCTCAAACCCTGCTGCTGCTTTATCAACTAAGTTTAGGAAATATTCTAAATCCTTTTTTGTCATTTCAACAGTGTTCACCGCATTTTCATCAGAAATAGATTTCATTTCAGTAAAGAAAAAAAAAAAAAAACTTTCTTTGCTTATCCATAAGAAACAACTTCTCATCCATTGAAGTTCTATCTCGAGGTTGCAGCAATTCAGTCACATCTTCAGGCTGCCCTTCTAGTTCTCATGGTACTTCCACCACATCAGCAGTTACTTCCTCCACAAAGTCTTGAATCCCTCCAAGTCATCTATGAGGGTTGGAATCAACATCTTCCAAACTACTATTAATGTTGATATTTTCACTTCCTCCCATGATTCACAAATGTTCTCAATGGCATCTAGAATGGTGAATCATTTCCAGAATTTCAATTTAATTGTCCAGATCCATCAGAAGAATACTATCTATGGCAGCTACAACCTTATAAATGTGTATTTCTTAAATCATAGAACTTGAACGTGGCTGGGCGCAGTGGCTCAAGCCTGTAATCCCGGCACTTTGGGAGGCCGAGGCGGGTGGATCACGAGGTCAAGAGATCGAGACCATCCTGGTCAACATGGTGAAACCCGGTCTCTACTAAAAACACAAAAAATTAGCTGGGCATGGTGGCGCGTGCCTGTAGTCCCAGCTACTCAGGAGGCTGAGGCAGGAGAATTGCCTGAACCCAGGAGGCGGAGGTTGCAGTGAGCCGAGATCGCGCCATTGCACTTCAGCCTGGGTGACAAGAGCGAAACTCCGTCTCAAAAAAAAAAAAAAAAAAAAAAAAGAACTTGAACGTAAAAATTATTCCTTGATCCTTGAGCTGCAGAATGGATGTTATTTGCAGCCATGAAAACAACCTTCATTTTCTAGGACATCTCCATCAGAGCTCTAGGATGATCAGATGGATTGACAATGAGCAGTAATGTTTTGAAAGAAATCTTGTTTTCTGAGCAGTAGGCCCACTGTTTATTTTTTGACAATGGGCTTAAAATATTCAGTAAACCATACCGTAAACAGATGTGCTGTCATACAGGCATGTTCATTTATAGAGTACAAACAGAGTAGATTTAACATAATCCTAAAGGCTCCAGGTTATTTGGAATGGCAAATGAGCATTGGCATCAACTTAAAGTCAACAGCTGCATCAGCCCCTAGCAAGAATTAGCCTTTGCTTGGAAGCTTTGGAGCCAGGCCTTGACGTCTCCTCTCTATTTGTGAAAGTCTTACAGGACATCTTCCAATAGAAGCCTGTTTCATCTACACTGAAAAGCTATTGTTTCACGTAGCCACTTTTATCGATTACCTTAGCTAGATTTCTGGATAACTTGCTACAGCTTTTATCAGCTTCTACATCTTGCACTTTTATATAACGAAGACAGCTTCTTTCCTCAAACCTCATGAACCAACCTCTACAAGCTTTCAAAACTTCTTCTGCAACTTCCTCACCTCCTTCAGCCTAAATGGAATTGAAGGGACTTACAACCTTATTCTGATTAGGCTTTTTCTTAAGGAAATGTCGTGGGTGGTTTGATCTTCTATGTAGACAACTAAAACTTACACCATATCAATAATGCGGCTATTTCGCTTTCTTACCATTTGTGTGTTTACCGGAGAAGAACTTTTAATGTCCTTCAAGAGCTTTTCCTCTGCATTCACAATTTGGCTGTTTGATGCAAGAGGCCTAGGCTTTGGGTTATCTCAGCTTTTGACATGCGTTCCTCACTATGCTTAATCATCTCTAATTTTTTATTTAAAGTGACGTAAATGCAACTCTTCCTTCCAATTGAGTTCTTACTTACAGACCATTGTAGGGTTATTAACTGGCCTATTTTCAATATTATTGTGTCTCAGAAAATAGGGAGGCCTGAGGAGATGGAGAGAGACTGAGAAACAGCCAGTAGGTTCCACAGTCAGAACACACAACATTTATCAATTAAGTTTGCCATCTTATATGGGCATGGTTCATGGCACTTCAAAACAATCACCATAATAAGATCAAAGAACAGTAATCACATATTGTAATAACTAGTAAAGTGATCATAAAGAAGTCTGAAGTATTGTGAGAATTGCCAAAATATGACACAGACATGAAGTGAGTACATGCTCTTGGAAAAATGATGCCAATGGACTTGATTGACACTGGGCTGCAACAAACCATGAATTTGCAATATCTGCAAACTGCAATAAGATGAGGTATGCCTGTATCTTTTCTATTTTCTGAAGGACACAACACTTCCATTTTGACTTATTTTTCCTCTTTGTCTTATGTATTATTTACAAGAGTTTTTATTTCCTTATCGTTGTTTTCTCCAATGTTAGATAATTTTAATTTTAAAAAATTGTTATTTTTTGTTATGTTGATATCTAATTCAATTCTCTGTGGTCAACAATATTATTTTATATTATGCATTATGACAAATAATATTTTGGCAACCTTATTTTGCATAACATATTTTAAAAATGGGGATGAAAATGAACAGATAGATTTGCAAAATGAGTGTTAGGCTCTTGCCTTATCAAAAATTAAAAGCTAAAATAGACTTGAACACTATACAATACTGTTTTTCACATAGTAATTAGTCTGATAGCAAGAGGAACTTGTTGACTTATAGAGGAAGAAGATATGAGTTAGTTGCCATTTCTTACTTAGATGTAATCGGAGACAAATCTCTATGAATGACTAACAAAATGTGCAAGACTAGGTGAAGTTGACATAACCAATGTAGGCTTATAGAAGGGATATCGTCTAAGTATAAGATACATATCTGACAGAGCTTAAACTGAATGCTGGGAAAGTTTGTAAGTTTTCAGTGCTATACCATGAAACAAAGGGGAAAGAAGTGATCCTAGTTTATATTTCTAAAAATGAAGACAAAATATCTAAATACAATAACTAGTATCATTCTTAAATGTAATAAACATAGAAGCCAAGGTTATAAGCACAAATTATGGAAGGAGCATGTCATGATGATACTATATACTGTTGGATCACAAAGATAATACAAAGTCATATTAGAATATAATCTGGAAACAGACGAGTCAATTTTTATTATATAGTAAAGAGAGTGCAATGTATTTGTGTAAATAAATGCACACACTTTTAGTAAGTATAGAGTTGATGGGTTTTTTTTGAAAATATTTTATTGCATTGATGATGTATCTTAAAGTTTATGGCATCTTAAAATCAAGGAAACAAGGTCTTATTAATAAGTAAACCTGGATGGCAGTGATGAAGGTTTGGAAAAACTCATCAACATAAGAGAGACTTCAAAAACTGTTCTAAGTAAATTAGTGTATTTTGAATGTGAAAAAGATATTTTAAATCAGGAAAGAAATGAATGATTATGCAAAAATAATGATGAAACAACTTACTCATTTTAGGAAAATAGTTAGATTTCAACTTCACATTTTACACTGAAGAAAATTGCATATGATTTAGAGATTTTATTGTAGGAAAAAAGACAATACAAAAGTATTAGTAAACGTTTTTATAATGTTAAGAGTGTGAATGGTTTATAAATGTGATTCAACATCATAAGCAATAAAGGGAAAGAATGCAAGACGTGATTACAAAGAAATCTCTGCAGCTTAGGAGGCAAACAAGTAAACAAAACACACTATACCACAAATAAAGTTGAAAACAATTTTAAGTTTAACATTTATATCATGTCAGTGAGAGGCAATAGTGGATAATTGTGAAAAGGCTCTTGCAAATCTACAAGAAAATTAATAATGCCCAGGCAAAAGATATGAAGAGCCAGTCAGCAAAAGCAAACATACAAAATAAATGTCACGTAAATATACAAGAAGGTCTGTCCTCAGTAGTATTAAAATACATAATCTCATCACGATTATAAAAATGAGATCTTACATTTTATCTATCAAATTGAAATTGTATGCAAAGAAATTGAGAAATATGCACATCTCATACTCTAGTAAATATCTACAAGCTTCCTGAAGAGTAGTTTGGCAATGCTTATGAAGGTTTCATCATTTAGAATAATATTTATGTTGTTTTTGTTAAGTAGCCATTACTACACTGAAGGAACTTTTCTCCTCTCTGATGTATTTTATTAATTGCATTTTTGGTATCTATTGACATAAGCACAAATTTTTTAGTAATGATAAAAAGGAAAATTAAAATATTCAACTATTATTGTACCTTTGTCTAGTTCTCTTTCAATGTCACATAATTTGTTTACAGTTTTTAGGCTAAAATGTTGTGTTTACATTCTAAATTTCTAACTCCTATAATTTTTTAATAAACTGAATATTTTGTGATGTCATGTGCTTCTATCTCATTTAATAACTTTAATCTTAAATTCTACCTTAATATTATGTGTCATCCCTATTTTCTTGTTCTGTTGAAATTTGCAAGGTTGCTTCCATTTAAAATTTAAGTATGTTTATTGTTAACAAAATATAATTGGATTTCGTTTGCAATCTAATCTGACATGTTGTGGGGACATATATGGGGAAATATATGTCTTCCTCATTTAGTGTAACAGTTGACATTCTTGACTGCTATTCTTATTCCATCAAAATTATTTAACGGTAGCTAATTTGTTTTTACTTAGTTAGAGTTTTGGTTTTTTTCTTAATATTAGACTTTGTAAGGTTACTTTATCTCTTTTTCCCTGTTTATTTTTTAAAATTCAGTTGTGAATTTTCAGTACATTTCTCATTTCAGATTCTTATAATAAATTCCTTATTTTTGTCCTTTACTAAAATTAGATAACGAATCTTCTCTTTCCAGTGTTTTACTCGCCCATTGCACTCAACCCTCACCCTAACTAAAGTAATATGAACCCTACTAGGTGCAGACTATTTATTTATTTTTTTTTTTCTGAGACAGAGTTTCACTCTTGTCGCCCAAGTTGGAACGCAGTGGTACGACCTCAGCTCACCGCAAACTCCGCCTCCTGGGTTTGAGTGATTATCCTGCCTCAGCCTCCCGAGTAGCTGGTATTACAAGCATGTGCCACCATGCCTGGCTAATTTTGTATTTTAAGTAGAGATGAGGTTTCACCATGCTGGCCAGGCTGGTTTCAAACTCCTGACCTCAGGTGATCCACCCACCTTGGCCTCCCAGCATGCTGGGATACAGGTGTGAGCCACCTCGCCTGGCTGGTGCAGACTACTTATTAGTTTCTCCTTTCAACATGTATCCTATGAGAGTCCTAATTAGCACTTATGGTATGTGTTCATGATCACACAGTTATCATTCATTTGAATTTATGTATGGCAGGACTTGTTGTCCACCAATTTTACCCCTCTGCCTAATCTTCCTCTGTATACAGTTCTGTCTCCTGAATTCATTAGTATTTGGTTAGAATACCATCTTGAATATTTTCTTCACACACAGTGTATGAGTGATCTACTCTCTGAATCCGTGTATTTCTACAAATGTCTTCCATCCTGCTCAGAGAAATGTTTCTTTAGCAGGTTAGAGAATTATAAAGACACACTCATTTTATCTCAGTGACATACATGTTACTCTATTGTCTTTCAGTGATGTTAGCAAGAATCTGATACTATTCTAATAGTTTTTCCTTTATGAACTAGCAACATTTTTGCAACTGAGAATTGTAAGATTTTTCTCTCAATGATTTAATTTTCCCCATTGAATATGCATTACTTCAATGAATAAAAACAAAATTCAATAAAACTAGCTTCTCAAAAACAACTTCATAACTATCATGTAAGTTCCAAAGAGACTATGAACATTACTCATCTTTACTATAGCATTGATTGATAGATACAATGGAATGGCAAAGTTATAGAGACTTTAATAGCTTGAAATAAATGTGTCAGAATTTTGTCCTAGCCTCCAATGAGCAAGACAAATGGTTTCCAGTGTGTACAAAGATAAGATTTTTTCTTTTCATTTCATTTACCTTCTCTACTTATACTTTGTTTTGTTTGGTTTTCTAATATGTGTATATTAATAGCTCTGACAAAGAGGATCAAAAAGTGATAGCAATATAAAATGGGAACATTTACTTAAGTGCTGTACTTCCCTCAGAAAATAAGTGAGTGTAAACAGAAACAGAGACAATTCTATACAGGTATTGTTAGGTTTTTTTTTTCCTGGCTTATACATACTTTTAATGCCTGAGTCGTAGTCAAAGGAACATTTTTCCTTCAAAAATAT